TTGAAATTTAAAATGTAGTAAAACTTTTTAAAGGATAAAAGGCATCCTTAGGGTCAACATAAACTATTAGAGGCAGTTTAAATAACCCTTAATTTTATAATCAGTGCTTTGAAAATGGAGGAATAACTGATAATCAAATCAGTCATTTTGTCTCAATATTAATGTTTCATGTTGAAACAGGTATCAAAGGAAGTTTCTCAGAAAGATGGAATTGTTCATTGTTCTGGTGGTATGCAAAAACAATGCTGACTCAAAAGCAGCCAACTGGACAGCTGCAGATGCTGTACCCAATGCAAATACTAAGCAGGCACAGCACGAATCAATAATTAACAAAGCAGATGCACAAGCTTGATGAGGATGAATAATTATATAGCTGGGAACAGTGAATGGAGCTGGTAACAGTGCTAGTTTTATAAGAAATTGGACAGACTCTTTGTATTCATGCATTTGTTTGCAAGAGTGCTTGAATAATACATGTGAAATATATTTTTTAAAAGTTTCAATTATACTGATATATACCTTTCTAAGGTACATATCACCAAAGATACTTAGAAATCAAAATGATCCAGAAGAAAATATTGGTAGAGTAAGCATAAAATGATTATAAAGTATGAAATAATATTCTAAGTGGGCTAAATACAGCAACATCAAATTTGTTTATTTTTGGAATTCTTAAGTATAATAAAAATTGAAGATGTAGGTATACATCACTGTCTAACTTTATGTGTGTGTGTGTGTGTATATACATAAACATATAAAATCTGTACTAGTCCATATATTCCTTGAAGATAGGCATTATGTCTCTCAATGTACTCTACAAACAGGCATCATGTCTCTCAATGTACTCTACAAACACTGAGCTCGGTATCTTGTATGTAAATACCCATGGAATGAAGAAAATACACATCGTAGTAACTTTAAAAGATAATGAAAACAGGGCTGGGTATGTATCTCAGTTATAGAACATTTGCCTGGTATGTGCAAGGCCCTAGGTGGATCCCTAGCACTGATAAAAAGGCTAGTAAAATATAATTAAAATTGCCAGGTGCATTTGCAGTGGTGCCTGCCTGTAATCCCAGCAGCTCAGGAGGCTGAGACAGGAGAATCACGGGTTCAAAGCCAGCCTCAGCAACTTAGCAAGACATTAAGCAACTCAGTGAAACCCTGTCTCTAAATAAAATACAAAATATGGTAGGGGATGTGGCTCAGTGGTTGAGTGCCCCTGAGTTCAATTTCCATCATTCATATATATATTTATTTATTTATATATTTGACAGTATGACAATCATATTTGTCAATTTGACAATCATATTTTCAAATATATACATATATGTGTGTGTGTATATATATATATATTTGACAATATGATTAGGCACTTTGGTAAAAGCATACAGAGTGAACTCTCTGCACATACCACTGACTTGGTAAAATCCTTTAGGAGGCTCTTTTTGAGAAATTGTTCTTAAACTTCAGTGATTTTTTTCTTTTAAAAATATATTGGTAGTTCATTATGTAAATAATTTATAGGAGAGGAATTGTACAGTTCTATCAAAAATGCCCAAAGGACATTTGACAATATTCACAAAGGATTAAATGTACTTTCCCAAACTTTATCAAGTTTTTAATCAAGACTACTTACAAAAAACCAAACAGCATATTAAAGGGTAGATCCTATGAATGTCATTTTAATTAAGTCTGAATTAAAGATCTGAAGCAAAGGTAAGGCACACTTTGTATCATCATCCAACATTGAAATATTTGCTAAGTGAAAGAAGAGCCCCCAAACTGAATAATTTATGTAAACGTTGGAAATTAAAATAGTATAGAAAGTTCATGAGACCCTACTTAAACTGTTTAATAAGAATTTGATCATGTGGCTGTATCTGATGGATATAAAAATCAGTAACTTTTCTCTGTATAATCAGAAGTACAAACATTCTTATAAATCTTTTTTTATATATGTTTTCTTTTGGGGGGGTGGGGTACCAGGGATTGAACTCAGAGGCATTAGACCACTGAGCCACATGTCCAGCCCTATTTTGTATTATTTAGCGACAGGGTCTCACTGAGTTGCTTAGTGCATCACCATTGCTGAAGCTAGCTTTGAACTCGAGATCCTCCTGTCTCAGCCTCCGGTGTCAATGGGATTACAGGTATGTGCCACCACACCTGGCCATTCTTATAAACTTTTAACTGACAATAATAATGAAGTTATAAAAGACCAAGAAAAATATTTAACAGGAAACAACAAAGGCAAAAAAAAACTTCAGTGATTTTTAAAAGCTAGAAATATGAAAGATAATAGAGATATTTATAACAAATTTGGAAAAACAAGTTTTAGTGTTTTAAGCATATAAGGAAGCTGGCAGCACTGTTCATTTACAACCCTTTGCCTAAGGCTGTATGTTGCAAGAATAACAGTTCATGTAAATGCTAAGGATTCATTGCTTGTTACTAAAGTAAGTGCTTTACCTCAAAGCAGATTTTTTTCATCTAAAGGAATGTTTGATATCACTCTTATTTTGTTTGAGTTTTCATTGACAATGCATACACTTTCTATTGTCCACTTATTCATTGATTCACAAATATTTGACTATCTACTATGTGCCAGGCAGGGAATACAGCGCTGAACAAACAAAAATCACTGCACTTCTGCATGAGGTCCTGAGTTCAGTCCCCAGCATACAAAATCTGTCAATTAGTTTATGGCCATACCACCCTGAACTTGCTTGATCTCATCTGACTTCAGAAGCTAAGAAGGGTCAGGCCTGATTAGTACTTGAATGGGAGACCAAAAATCTATCAATCAATCATTAAACTTGTGATAATTTTATTCTAGGAATGGATATGGATGATAATCAAGATATACCAGTAAAAGATACAATAAATTAGATAATGTTAAGCAAGTGCTAAAGAAAAAATAAAGCAGAAAAAGGTAATACAAAATATAAGAAAGATATTGAATTGTAAATAGAGTGTACAGAAAAGTCCTCACGGAATGATGGGGAAGTGTGGGAGCTAGTCCTGTAGATAGCTGTGGGAAGAGCATCCCAGGCAGGAAAAATCCCATGTTACAAAACCTCCAAGTGAAACAGTGCCTGATATAGTTGAGGAGTATGAAGGAGAGGGCTGGGAAGAGTACTGGAGGTGGAGATCAAAGAGATGACTGGAGGCTAGGTCACAAAGGACTTCAAAGACTTTGAAGGGTTTTGAGCAGAGGAGTGACAGAATCTTACTTTTGACCAAAGCCCCTCTGGTCACTGGGGTTTGAGAATATAGAGTTAAAAAGGGTAAGGTGGGATAGGGAGATCATCTCAGAAGTTCTAACTAGAATCCAGGTCAGAGATGCTCCTGGTTTGAAGCAGAGTGGTAGCAAGTAGATGGATTCTGGATGTATTTTGGATATAAAATTCATGTTTTTGTCCCTGACAGAATAGGATTTGAGGTTATCCCATATTTGTGATACAATTAAATTTTCACTATTCTTTCCTAAGTAATGAAAAAAAAAACTCTCACAAATTCTGTAATTCTGAGAGTATCTCACTCCTGATACTGAAATTCCTTTTGTTCCTGAGTTTGAAACACCTCAATTATTTTCAAATCCTACCTTAATCTTGAGGAAAGGCAAAGAAAAAATGTGGTTCTCTGAATATCAACTACCAGCACTATCTTCTTATCTCCTCATGACTGTAAGCTTGGCCAGGCTTTTCATTTCCCTTGATGTTCCTCAAAACCTGGCATAGAATCCTGCACACATTAGTCTCTCAAAAAATGTTCATTGAATGGTACAGTCTTCATATTTTGTACAACTACTATAAAAGACTTTCTACCAGGCATGGTGGCGCATGCCTACAATCCCTCTTGACTAACTGAGGAGGTTAGTCAAATTCCAGGTCAGCCTACTAAACTGAGTGAGATACTGTCTCAAAATAAAAATTTAAAAGGCTGAAGATGTAGTTCAGTGGTAGAACACCAATAAGTCCAATTCCTGGTACCACAAGAAAAGAAGATTAAAATTTCACATTCCTTAAGGTTAAAATGAGTGCAGTAGTCCTCTTATCCACTGTTTTACTTTCCACAGTTTGAGTTTCCTGTGGTCTACTGAAATCTGAAAACATTAAATGGAAAATTCCAGAAATTAATTCATGTTTTAAATCATATGAAACATTCCTTTATCCAGCAGATCCATGCTGAATACACTACCCACCCATTGGTAGCTGTTTTGGTTATCAGATCACCTTCTTGGTATTGCAGCGCTTATGTTCATGTAACCCTTATTTAACTTATTTAAATAGTGATGTTTGCAATTTTGTTACATTGTTCTAATTGTTCTATTAAATTACTAGTTCTTGATATTAATCTCTTACGTGCTCAATTTGTAAACTGCATCCCATATGTATGTTGTGTGTGTGTGTGTGTGTGTGTGTGTGTGTGTGTGTGTCTGTACAGGAAAAGAACAGTATAGAGTTTGGTGTTATCCATGGTTTCAGGTAACCAACCACTGGGGGTCTGGGAAAGTATCCCCTGTAGGTAAGAAAGGCCATTGTAATAAACTGAAGAGTAACATCCAGTCCCATCAATTGCACAATCACAAGTTAAAATTGGTATTGAGGACAAGTATGCTGGAGTACTGTGAACTGGATGTTTTTGAACCTTTTGCATCTTCATTCTTACCAGTTGTTTCAGTTTTCTCACGCCATGTAAATTAACTTGAAGGGCAGAGGAGATTGAATTTGCAATTCACAGGGCTGGTATCAGCTACCGTTATCTAGGAGTCATCACGGAGTTTAAGCTTCCTTGAACTGCGAACTTCCTTGGGGAACAATCCGTCAAAATGCTTGCATCCTATTGGCCAGAGACCCGGTCGCAGGCATCTCTCGTCACCCCTCGCGACGCGGGCCTGCGCTGCCTTTTCTCTCACTCCCGGAGAGCCTGGCCTCTGTCTCACCAGCGCCCCAAGCGGCGCGCAGGCTCGGTGAAGCGCAGTACGCGCGGACCGCGGGGAACGTTTCCTAGCAACTGGGGGAGGTGCGACGTCATGGTGGCGGGTTCCGACAGCCGCTGCCACTGTAGAACCGCCGAGTGCACCTTCCAGTCCTTGCGGTCGGAGGTAGCGCTACTCGCTGCCCTGTGTCCGCACGTTTTCGTCTTCCCATACAGTCTTATCCCACTCCTGGTCGCTGAAAACAACCTCTTGCGCGCCTCCGCCGCTGAGGCCCGGACCGGTGGAGGTCCCCGGCCTCGGTGGGACGATGCTTGAGTCCATTCGCGTGACGGGTGAGTGCAGGGCAGCGCCAATCCTGGGTGCTGGCGCGGTCGGCCACTGCCCGTCCAGGCACCGAAGGCACGGCTTGTCGGGGTCCAGGCTGTCTGGGTGCGAGGTAACTGTAGGATGTGGGCTTGGCTCGCGGTGCAGCGACTGGAGCCCGCGCCCAGAACAGTGCGGGGCGTGCAGGAGGAGCTCGCTCTACACAAGTGGAGTGAAACCAGAAAACGGGCCCATTTCCTTTTGTCACTTATAATCAGTAAGCAGAAACCGTGGAATCTAATGTAATAGACCAGTTACTTGTCCTACAGATGTACAGCCTAAGTATTGTTTAATCCTATTCCAAAGCATACTAATGTATAATTAGGCTTTATAATTTTCTAGAATGTTCAGAAAAATCAGAGCTAAGCAAAAGAATACATCGGTATATTTCAGTATACTGGGTTTATTTTTGTTTATTTTTATTTTTTAAACTCTGAGAATGTTTTGAGTCCATATTATTAATAAGCATAAAGCTTGGTGTTTAGGTTCCAGGCCTAAAAGTTTACTTGCCATTGATTATTTTTAAATAGCTATACAGATTAGCCATTTTAACAGAGTTTCATAGCATTAAAATAATTTCTTAGGTCATTTCACTAGCATTTGATTCTACAAGAAAGCATTTCTGCAAGCAAGACAGGTCTCATGATGAATTACATAGTAAAGAGAAATACTTAATCCCCAAACTGGTATCAAAATAAGGCCAGAATTTTTAACTTTAAGGCATTACAGTACCTAATCATCTTTTTCTGAGTTTTTTAGTTGAAAAACTAAATTCCTTTCCAGTGAGAATATTTATGATCTTAATTTTATACTACTTAATTTAATATTCAGTGTTATAAAATATAGAGCTGATTTTGATGCAGTCATGATATTGCTGCGATTTATATCATTGTTATGTTGACAGGAAGCATAGACAGTTACAGGAGCTAAGATATGAGGCTACTGAAATTTGCATTAGATTTTTTTTTAAATGTGATTTGCTTTATTAAAACATAATGTAGAAAGTTACTTAAAAACCCCCTTCGTTTATGTTGTGGACCAAGGTTTTCAACCTCAGCACTATTGACATTGTACAAGAAAATTCTTTGTTGTAGAGGATTGTTCTGTCTCTCCTCCACAGGCATATAGAGTTGTAACAACCAAAAATGTGTCCACATATTACCACATGTTCCCTGAGGGGCAAAATTGAGAACTACTGCCTTGGAGGAAAATATAGATTCTATCACAATGAAAGTTATTCGGATTAGAAACTACATTGATTAAAATCATTTTCTCCAAAGCATAACAATCATTATAGACAGAATATGATTAAAATAATATTAGTATTATTAAAGACAGTGGCACACTCTTATAATTCCAACCACCACCAAAAAAAAAAAAAATGGATTTTAAAAAAAGGGCTGGGGATATTGCTTAGTGGTAAATAGCCTCTGGGTTCAATCTCTGGTACTATTAAAAAAAAAGAAGGAAAAAACCTAAAATCCCAAGAATAAGCTGTTAATAGAAAAATAAAATTATTATTATTAGAAAATTGGTATTCTAATCTGGTCTGCAATGCAAAATGGATCTCCTGATACTTCAGTAAGTGAAGTTGGAAGTTTGAGGAGAGATCCTTTATAATATAGTAGAGCCACCCCTGTTAGCTTAATTCTCTGCACAATTTAAAAAGCAACTCTTGTGTGTTTCATACCCTGATATAGATAGTTTGGCAGGTAATTTCTAAGTGTATAATAAAACTTAAAACAGCCATTTGAGAATGTGCAAGCCTGAAATTTATAGTCCCTTTCAAATTAACACACCGAGTCATTTTTCAAACTAGTTTCTGCATTTCTTCTCTATAGTACTTGACTAATTAAAATGATTCTAGAGCCCTGCACTCAGCATTTCATTGAAATGGAAAACCTAATTTTAAAAAATCAGTCAGAAACTTCATGAAGATGTTTTAGCTAAAAAAAAAAAAAAAAAAAAAATGCCCTCCTCTTCCCTATTCCCTTGCTACTCATTGATATCTCAGATGCCCATGTTCTTCTAGTTAGCAGAACTTGATCTATTGTGATTATGAATACTGGTGGAAATGTATTTCCTTTATTCAGCTTTAAAATAGCAATAACTGTAGAACAAACTGGTTGTTTTATATTTCAGGTCTGAAACAATTTAGTGTTTTAGAAATTACTTTCATTTAATGTCTTATCCACTTCTGACACAGTCATGATTTAATATAATCTAAATATAACATCTTGGTGGAACTGCATCTACAGGAATAAGACAAATAAGATGTATATACTATTTATGCTATTTGAAGATGGAATCAAATCTGAAAGGGTCTCTTTGCGCTCTCATATCCGTTTAATGAAGAGAATTTATTATACTAAAACCACTAAAATGTTGATTCTAAAATGTAAAATTAATTACTTTATAGTAATATTAAATTCACTTTGGAAATACAAATTTAATGAGTCCAAATATTTCCCCACTTAACTATTCCATGGAGTATTTCTATAGGAGCTGAAGATAATATTGAATATAATAACCATAATAATAGTGAACCAAGGCTGTTTCCTATAATCCAGCACTGTTCTCACACTAAACATGTATTTTTTAAAGTCCTCACACCAATACTATGAAGTATGTATTACTAGCACAAATAAATTAAGTAACTTTGTCAAGGTCACAGCCCCCAATAAGCTGAGCCAAGATTTTAATCAGACAAACTTCATTCCAAAGACCATATTCTGAACCACTAGGAAAATCAGCACACTGTTACAATGACTACACTGGTTTAAGCTACAAAATCCAGCATCAGAATCTCATTTTATCATCAGTGTTACATTATTTGTTAATTTACTCAAGGTGTTGAGTTCTATCACCAGCAAATATGTAAATTACAATATTTGCTTGGAAAACTATTTAAGTATATACATATTATATTAAGTATATATATATATAAAGTATATATATATATATATTTATATATATATAAAGTATATATATATATATGTAAATATATACTTAAGTATATATTTATTGTTTTCAAAATGGAAGAGAAGGGCTGGAAGTGAAGCTAGTGGTAGAACATATGCTTGAGGCACTGGGTTTGATCCTAGCACATTTGATTTTGAACAAAACCAAAAACAAATCAAAATAGAAAAGAAGATATATAGCACAATCATTGAGTAACAAAATGCTGTCAAAAGCCATATAATACAAGATTATATTAATTTGTAATATTCAACTGACCTTATTTTGTGTAATATGACAAGTGATTGACGAGTCATCTGGAAATGAAGCCCTTTTGTAACAAAGGTGATTGTTTAAAAATACTGGAGATAAAATTTTCTGTATTGGTATAGGGGATTGAGCTCAAGGATACTTTGCTACTGAGCTACATCCCCAGTCCTTTTTATTTTGATTTTGAGACGGGGTGTTACTAAGTTGCTTAGGGTCTCACTAAATTGCTGAAGCTGGCTTTGAACTTGCAGTACTCCTGCCTTAGCCTCCCGAATCTCTGGGATCACAGGTATGTGCTACTGTACCTTGTGATAGAGGGCTTCTGAAGGCCAGTGTTTAACCATACAGGGTGAATACACCTAGGCATGTATCTTCTTTTTGTCCTACAGTAGTCTCTACCCTCACCAATTGTTTCCCTTTCTTATACCTTTCTGGAATGATTTTTTTATTCTTCCATTTTCAGGCAACCAAATTTTCTACCTTTTCTTTCCTCTTAAGTGTTCTCTTCCCCTAGGCTACCTCTCTGGCCACTTTTTCATAAAAAGGGTAATGAGTAAGCAAAAACAAACACAAATGTATGCTGTAATAAGAGTTTAAAATTTTATTGTTGGGGGAGGCCCTCACACAACAAATGCGAAAATGCAGTCGTGGCAATTACTTCAAGGGAGAGATAAAAGGTGCTATGAAAATCTGAAATGAAAAAGTCAAAGACTTCATGACCCAGTGCTATTTAAACTAAAGAGCTACTGTATCTATAGAGAGGATGGTAAGATGAGAGATTGACAATGTGAGAGGGGGCTGGAATGTAGAGGTTAAGGAGGGATGTTATGTGAGATGAGACTGCAGAGGGATCTTGTGGCCTCATAGACCATAGGAGTTTTATCTTCATCCCAGATAGAAAGTCATGGGAGAGTTTGCTTCTAGCACAGAGGATGTACAATGCTTGTTCTTAACCTGGTCATCAAGGTATGAAATACTGTATTTATAGAATTTACAATATTTCTAACTGTAAATACATAACACTATAATTTTCGACCCCAAAACAACAGTGTCACATTGTAAGATTGTTAGTAATAGAATAACACTGAAGTGCTGCTTCTGTGGAATTTTTAGGAATCTGAGATACAGTAAAGTTTCTGAATTCCTGAGTGATATTAGCAGTGAATTTCTTCTATTTTTCCTTAGTAGCTGACTGGGTGCTATTGAATTATAGAAGTATTAAAGTCAATAGATTATCTGCTATAATATAGGCAAGTTGAACAATAAATATGTTTTTAAAAGTACTGATTTTTAAAATACGTTTTAAAAAACATATAGGGCTGGGGATGTAGCTTAGTAGAGAACTTGCCTTGCATGCACGAGGCCCTTGGTTTGATCCCCAGCACACACACACACACACACAAAGGTGTAATTTATATATGCTAAATTTCACAAGTTTTAAATGTGCAGTCTAATGAATTTGTAGATGTGTAACCATTGTCCAGAACAAGATGTAGAACCTTTCCAGCACCCAGTAGGCTCCTCCGTACCTCCTCCCAGTACCCCACCCTCAAAAAGTAACCACTATTCTGACTTCTAATATCACAAGTTAGTTCTGCTGTTTCTAAACTACATATAAATGAAATTGTACATTGGCATGGCTATCTTTACCCAATATTATCTGAGATTCACCCACTTTGCTGCTTGCTTGCAACAACACATATTTTATTACTATGTAATATTCTGTTGTATGCATGTATCA